TAACCGTGAGATCGTGACCTGAGCCGAAGTCAGACACTCAACTGACTGAGACACCCAGGCACCCCACATGGTAGTCTTTTCTCTTGGTCTGTCTGTCTCTCCAGCTGTCTTTCTTTGACCAGCCCATATACCACAATTCACATAAACCAAACGCTTATGGGATGCAGTTTCCCTCGGCCCTCCATCACCCACATCCATCCTGCAGTTTCCCCGGGCCTTGCTCCTACTGATCTCTCAACAAGCACTTGTCAGATGAATGAGAATGGAAATGACCAGCAGCCGGATTTACTGGGCTACTGCTATTCAGGGAGGCAAGCATCTGTTTTATCATTTTATTCAATTTTTAAAAAGACAAATAGGCATGTAGCAGAGAGAAGCCCTTGGCAGGAGGCAGGCAAGTTTGAGCCATAGCTTCCAGGCTGTGATTCCAGGGAAGGAAGGGCCAGTGCAGTCCTGGTGTATCTTGAGTAGGCTGAGGGTGACAGGTCTAAAAGAATAAAATCCTTCCTGAGTATTGCTTGGCGGTTAAGAGCGTGGGGTACAGAGGCAGACAAAATGGGTTCAGATCCTGGCTCCCCTCCTTCCTAAATATGAGGCCCTGAGCTAGTTATCTGGCCGTTCTAGGCTCATTGTCATCACCTGTAAAATGGGATAGTAACAGCACCTACTCCCTAAGGTGTTCGTGAAGAACAAAGAAGCCAACAACTGGAAAGTATTCAGAACAAGGCCCAGTACTCATTAAGTGCTCAATAAACAGTAGCTATAAATTATTACTATATTCTTCTGAGTTTCACACCATCCCTGGCAGGTATTAGTGTCACCATTTCACAGAAGAAGAGAGTGAGGGTCAGAGAGGGTAAGGAGAGGCGCGAGACCCCATGGACAGAAGGTGGCAGGGGCTGGACTTACACTCAGGTCATAGGACTGTCTGTTGTATCACTAAGCATTTCAGAGTTCCTTTTCAGTCTCCGGATGAAATTATTTTACCCTTATTGTAGATACATATTTTCCTTCCTCAAACATGCTTTGATCTTCCCAGGCAGATGGCACCAAATATTTACTGTACAATTACATGGCCGTGATTGAATTTAGCCAGAGCAAGGGAGGCTGATTAGTCAGGGGTCTGCAACCCTGAGGAGAGGAAATCCTTCCAAGATTGCAACTATAATCCCTCTGGGGTAGAAATGTTGCTTAAAATTGTCCTGGCTCAGGTTCAAGGGTAAGAGGCACTAGTTTCCCCAACTTTGGGGGCTTTGAAGACAAGCTGACTGTACTGAAGTGCTGGTGACAAGGTCCAGACTGTCACTTTGTGGTTCAAGGGATGACATTTTATGATGTGCCCAAAGACCCTCATCCAGTGCTGTTGAAAGTCTGTCATGAGGGGCCAGAAGGAAGATTGCACGCTCTTCTCCCAGGCTAGGGACACAGGGGTGTCATTTATCAGAACCTGTATGTGAAGGGAACACACAGAGGAGAGTCTAGAAACACCTCTTAGCAGTCCCCACATGGAAAAGCTGTGGGGTTCTTCACAGCAAATATTTCAGAATGTCCCCAGCATCTACAAAGCTCATATTGTAATGCCAGCTGTATTGAGAATTTCCAAGGTGTCCACCATGAGGTAGAGGAAGAGCCATTAGTATAGTTCCAGGTCTGACCCTAACGAGCCATAAGGTCTCACAGAGGTGGAATCACATTTCTAAGCCTCAGTTTCCCCTTCTGTAAAGTGAGTGACTTGGACTTTATTTCGATCCCTCCAGCTCTAAGAGTTTATTAGTCTATGAGTCTATGAACCAAAGTTCCAAAGTGGCTATGCTTCCTCACAAAATGGCAAGATTTGGGTCTAGAATCTATGTCTCTATTAGCAGAATCTACACTTGCTCTAGACCTTCCCGACTTTGTGGTTTTCATCCACCTCCTTGAACGGACTGCTGTGGCTCAATCCCTTTCACCTGAAACCTTGCTCCACCACCCAGAATTCCATTTAACTCTGCAAATGTTGACCGAAGACTTACTGGGTTCCCACCTGTGTGGTTAGGCAGATGAATGCGACTGTTTCCCACTTGGGGGAATTCACAGTGAGATGGTGAGGTCCAGACTTGCCAGAACTTCGTTTCTCCAGAGATCCCTCTAGTACCTAAACTAGGGGTTCTCAAAGTGTGGTCCCTGGGCCAGCAGCATCAATTTTGCCTGGGAACTATCTAGAAATGCAGATTTTCAGGTGTCACTCTAGATCTACAGAATCAGAAATTCTGGAGGTGTGGCCCACCGATCTTAGTTTTGAACAATCCTTGAGGTGATTGGGAGGTACCTCAAGTTTGAGAACCACCGGACTGGCCTTCTCAGGGACAAGCTGAAAGACTGTGGTCCTCAACCCCTAAGGGACCTGAGGAGTTCTCCTGAGGAGCACTCGGTCACTCGGGCTGCCAGGACTGGCTTTCAGCTCACAGCCACAGCTCCCTTGGCACCTCCCACAATATTTCGAACCTTTGTGGTGTTTTTGTAAATGCCCAGGCGTTGTGGAAACTACACATTTGTTTTGACGGGAGCTAATCCAGTTTAGCACATAATTCCCCATGGAACTTCCAGGCTTCCCTTTAAATTGACTGTGATGCTTGATGGGATGTTGACACCATGACTAAGACCCACAGCAAAGATCCCAACCCCAGAGGACCTCCTGCTTCCAAAAATCTCCGGAGGAAGAGTTCTCAGGAAGCCAGTCTGCTGTCTCCTCTCTCCCTCCCAAGAAGGCTTTCCTTAATATCTTCCTCCATGGCAGGGTCTGAGCCTGGTTGCAGTTCTCCTCAGCAGGCGGAGGTCACTGGGTCACATTCTCCCTGCAGTGAGTTCAGACATCAAGGGTCGGGTGCGGGTGGCTCCTGGAGAGGGGCCAGCCTGGGTCCTGGCCCTTGTCTTCTGTCCTGGGACCTGCGGGTCTGTCGTCCACGGCTCCGACCCAGGGCTGTATGCTAGACCATCGGCACCTTTGTGAAAATTACAAGAGGCAGCCCTTCCAGCTGCTTCTCGGGGTGGACACAGCCCCTGGGGTTCAAGATTTCAGCCCCTTGCCTCATAGGGCAGGTGCCTGTGCGCAGGAACAGCAGCCTTCTCCCCAGCCTGGGCCCAGCAGGAGACAAATGGGGGGCAGTGTGGGCAGATAAGGGGGTTCCCACACACAGGACCCAAGGCTACGCTCTTCACCAGCGTCAGTTCCTTGAGTTCTAGCTACCACCTAATGCTGTGGGTGTTGGTATTGTCTCCATATAGGTTTTTTTTCTGTATTATAAGCAATTTTCAAACTTTCAGTGCCTCCATTTTCTTGTGTATCCAAATGGATATGACACTAGTCTTTCCCCTTAAGAGCTTGTTCTGAAAATCAAATGAGACCATAGAGAAGAATGCACTCTGGAAAATAGATTTTAAAACATCCCACAAACGTCAGGTTTTATATTGATCTTTCTCCCAGAGTCCTTGAAGGCAGTTTCTGGGGCCTCTGGTTTGAGAAACACATTTTGAATTCACACAGCCCCGGCTTTATGTGTGGGTGCAGCACAAGGTTGGTCTCCTGCCAGGAGGCTGTGGTTTGGGGGTGCTTCCTTGCCCCCAGATCGGAAGACTTGTGAGGCCACGCGGTGGACGAGGTGTGTGTGCAGGAGCTCGGGGCGAGTCACAGCCTGGCAAGCCGGCCTGGACAGGATGACCTCATGGGCCTTTCCACTTTTCATCTCGATGACTGGGTTCACTGTTTCATATTTGGCTTCCTCTCTCTTTCTTGCAGCTGTGGTGATTGGGATTTAGGGCAAGCATTTGGGATCCCTCTTCTAATCCCTGTCAAATCTGGATTTAGCTACAGAGTCCGGGAAGGGGAGGAGGCACCCCCCTTTGGCTGGAGGCAGTAGCTCAGAACATCGGAGAAATTCCTCCACCCTCTGAGGGAGGAGGCCTCTCATCTCATCCCCTATCAGCCTCTTCCCAGGATGTGATGAGTTTCACCCACAGACTCAAACCTCTTCTAGCCTCCTTGTTTGGAGGTTTCTGGAACAAGTATGGTGGGGGTGAGGGAGAGACTTAACATTTGCCTTTTTCCCGTTAACTGTGTCCTTTGTCTCTCGGTCAGTCCCTTCTCCAGCTTCAGCACCTGCTCCCCTCGTTGAGGTGGAGGCCCCCTCTCAACCAGTGCGGCAATGGTAGGCATCAACCACCTTGCAAACCACTGCCACCCTCATTGGCTTGTTATTATGTAACCTCCCTACAGGTGAGCTGAGTTACGTGGTGTGATGCTAATATACTGTGCTCATCACCGGTGGCATCAGGTGCACATTTCCCAGGCCTTTCGTAGCTGGCTCGGGGTTACTCTCCAACTCCGTTCCTCTCTGCACCTCCTAGCAGCCCTTCACCGCTCACTCCATTTCCACCACCCTCGTGCCATCGTCGGCTTCTGTTCACGTGTCTGCCTCCATGTGTTCCTTCTCTGGATGCGAACACCGCGTGAGACCAGTTCACGTCCTATCTCCTTGACCCCAGCCCCCTAACATCTCCATTCTCTGAACATCTAGTGTCGGCACCGCGTAATTATTCTTTCATTTGTTCCGTTAGTTAAGTTCCCGAGGTGGATCGTAAGCTCCTTGACGGTGGTCCCATCCTAGGCTTATTGCATATTCCCTGCAGTATCCAGCCAGGCTTATGTGGCATGCAGTAAATAATAAAATCATTTCGGCCCCGCTCAGGTGTGTGCCCACCTAAAAACTGTATTGATGGCTTTCTAGAAACTGAAGTGTCCATTTATCTTGCAAAAATAAATAGTATCTTTGTAGCCAGTACTCATGATCACACAGTCATGCACAATTTTTTTTACCCTTACAGCTTCCCCGGGCAGGGAAGAAAAGCCCGTGGAGATTGGAAGTCTGGAAGGTGACCTCCAGCCCTAGGATTTCCAACAACAGCCAGGCTGCCCTGGGCCTTAGCACTCTTCTAATGGATCTGACCTCTCCTCTTTTCCCCAGAGAGCTCCTGTGAGAATAAGCGGGCAGACCTGGTCTTCATCATCGACAGCTCCCGCAGCGTCAACACCCACGACTATGCAAAAGTCAAGGAGTTCATCGTGGACATCTTGCAATTCTTGGACATTGGCCCTGACGTCACCCGAGTGGGCTTGCTGCAGTATGGCAGCACCGTCAAGAACGAGTTCTCCCTCAAGACCTTCAAGAGGAAGTCTGAAGTGGAGCGTGCGGTCAAGAGGATGAGGCACCTGTCCACGGGCACCATGACGGGGCTGGCCATCCAGTATGCCCTGAATATCGCATTCTCAGAAGCAGAGGGGGCCCGGCCTCTGAGGGAGAATGTGCTGCGGGTCATAATGATCGTGACCGACGGGAGGCCACAGGACTCCGTGGCCGAGGTGGCTGCAAAGGCACGGGACACGGGCATCCTGATCTTTGCCATTGGTGTGGGCCAGGTGGACCTCAACACACTGAAGGCCATCGGGAGCGAGCCCCATGAGGACCACGTCTTCCTGGTGGCCAACTTCAGCCAGATGGAGTCGCTGACCTCGGTGTTCCAGAACAAGTTGTGCAGTAAGTCCTGCTCCTCTGGGGCTCTTCCAGGGGAAATCATGAGGATTCCTTTTTTCATCTCCCCGTGTTGTTTCTGTGCTACCTTGTCCCAGGTACTGTGTTGGCAAGGGGTGTTCAGCAAAGGCCAGGATAGACATGGCATTCTCCTGGAGTTACACTCTGGCCAAGGACACAGATAGTGAGGCTGTAATGATGCAGATAAGTAAGTAACTGCAGTTATAACAGTATCATAGAGGAAGAATTCAGGGCAGGACCCAACCTAGACCAGGGTGCCCAGGGAGAATCCTCTGGGGAAGGGACGTTTGAACTCAGACAGCAGAATGAGTACAAGTAGATGGGCAAAGCTTTTCTCCAACACATTGGACTGCCCTGGCATTCCTTAAGCTAGAATTCATGAGTTGGAGTAGACATGGGGACGGGAGGGCAAAAAAATTCCATAATGTCTCCTTGGATGGGGCCGAATATCAAGCATTATTGCCCCATGGTGGTGCTAATGGTGGAGATTTTCTCTTCGAAGAGGCCCAGTGCACGGGGAGGGCTGAGATTTGGTCCCCTCCTTCTGTAAGGGGGATACCTGCCCACATCCTTGAGCTGCCTTCTGCTTCAGGGGTCCTCTGCCCTCTCTTGCTTTCTGACCCTCCTCTCCACAAGGCTTCTCTCTCCCTTGCTTGCCAGCCTGCGCTCAGTTACCTGCGCCCAGGGCTCCTGCCTCAGCTTTCCATAGCAGGTCCGCTTGCCCTCTCCCCAGTTTCCTGCTTCTGCAGCTGGCTGCTTGTCCTTTCTTCCTCCAGGGGGGCAGGGGCTCAGGGGGCCACCCAGCCTCCTCTCTAGTCCTTGGAAACTGGAGACGTGCCTCCTGACCTGGTAAACAGTGTCCGGTGTTACCTTGCCCTTATCCGTCTGTCCCTGTCCCCTCCAACTGTCACGCTTTTTTGATGGGAAAGCAAAAGGAAAAAACCTATTTGGAAATAACTAGTGTTCCAAAGTATGAGTATGTGTGGAGAATGAGCTTAGGACCAGACTCATCTCCAGCTCCCCAAGAGCAGGGGCTCTGAGGACTCTTTTCTCAGACTCTTACACAGCCTTGGGACCCCCACTCCTCCCGCTGAAGCCTCAGGGAGGAAAGATGGTGTGTTTTGATGTGTTGTTTTTTTTTTTTTAATCCCCTGCTGAGAACTAACCTCAAAAAGCAGAGACTCCATCGTTTCTTGACTCTCAAGTCAAAAGATGTACTTAAAAAAATCAATGCCATGAAGGAAAAAAGAACCTTTTTCTCTGCAATGTCTCTTGGAGAGTTTTCAAAAGTGCTGTTTGGCCTGGCACGCAGAAGGGCCGTGTCAATGGGGTGCCATGGCCCAGGTTGCCCGGTAAAACTTCAACCAGTAGAACGCGCTGCAAACATTTTAAGGTTTATGACTTTAAATGACTTCTGCAGAATTTATGTTCCCCTTTTCCTGGAAATATTAAAAAAGAAATTGGTTCCGTGACAGTATTGATGGGTTTATTCATTTGTCTTGGAAAATGTCAATGGAGTTCTTTTATAAGCGCTCTGGATTTATCAGGAAATGGAAAGGCGATATGAGGCTAAGGATGTGAACTTGTGTGAATAAGGACCTTTTCTGTGTGCTTTATGGTCAGGCAGCAAAATTAAAAGGCAGTTTGGATCCTCTGCCCCGCACTTTGTTGTAATCTGGAAGCTTTTAAGAAAATATTGGGATTATGCCATTCGTTCGTTGGTGTGGCCCAAGAACCCAGGCCCCCTGCCTGCCTGGAGGAGACCAGTTTCTCTCCCACCACGTGGCAGGGTTCTGCTGAGCAGACCTGTCAACCGTCTTGACAGGTTGAGGAGGTCCTGAGGCCTCTTTATCAACTGTGCAGTAAAGATTTCAATAACTAATATTTATAAAGCACTTACTCTTCTGTTTTTATATTTGATCCTCACAAAAATCTGGGGGAGGCAACACAATACCATCCCTCCCCTCTTCACACCTTAGTAACTGCTTATGTGAATTCCCTGAGAACATATAGCCAGCAGGTAGTGGGTTCTCCTTCCGAAGCTCTTGCTCATTTCACTCCTCTGCACGCCAGGGGCTATAGATTCCTCTTTTAAGGTAAACCATTTTCTGGTGGCCACCTCCACAGTCCAGCCATGCTGAGTAAACCAACTTTGAGGTTGACATTCACCCCAGAATTTATAGGAAGCTTTGTAGGGTAGGGGAAGAGCAGACTTGAGTCTCAATGTCCCCACCTGCCACCTATATGATACCTAGCAAATCCGCTTGTCCTGGGCTAGGTACTTTCCATATGTTCTTCATTTAATACTTACAACAAGCTTATGAGGCAGATGCTATTATTATTCTCATCTTACAGAAGTGGAAACTGAGGCTTAGAAAGGATAAGCAACTTCAGATAGCAGGATCGGAGATTCAGTTTGCAGTTTCTCTGGCCCAAGCTCTTACCTTACCCTCCACGTGCCAGGCCTGAGGGTTCCAGGCTGGTAGAAAGATGCTCTCATCACAGAGAAGTGGGATGTTGGCTCTCCAAAATGTGCACCTCAGAGGCCTTGGAGAGGCACCAGGGACTGAGGGAACTCTGGTCAGAGAATACCTGGGTCTCCCTAGGAGCTTCTAGAAAGCTTTAAAAAGGAGATAATAATAATCATCATTGCCATTTATTTATTTATGTACTTATTTAAAAATTTTTAACTGTTATATTTATTTTTGAGGGGGGGGGGGAGAATGCGTGGGGGAGGGGCAGAGAGAGAGGGAGACAGAATCCAAAGCAGACTCCAGGCTCTAAGCTGTCAGCACAGAGCCCGATGCGGGGCTGGAACTTATGAACCATGAGATCACGACCTGAGCCGAAGTCAGACGCTTAACCAACTGAACCACCCAGGTGCCCCTAATCATTACCATCTATTGACATTAATATGTTCATGCACTGTTTTGAGCTATTAGCCTACATTAATTCATTTTATTCACACAAGAAACCTGTGAAGTAGGTACTTTTACAATTCTCGTTTTACAGAAGGGAAAACTAAGACCCAGAGAGGTTCAATGACTTATCCAAGGTCACACAGCACTGTGGTAGCGTTGAGATGTGAGCCCAGGCATTCTGGCTCAGTGTCCACATCTTGACCATTAGGTGCTACAAAAACTTGAAAGATGAATAGGAGTTTCCTGGCTAACTGAGGGGAGTGCGGTGGGCGACGGCGGTAAGCCAGGAAAGGAAAGATATTTTCACTTGATTGTTCCATTTCATTAAAACAACAGTAACAGCAGCAGCAGCAAAGAACTAGTCCAGATTCTCTCTTAGTTTTATAACCTGCTAAAGAGACATGACCCACGTTTGAAAAATGCTGACGAAGGGGTAGGCAGGAAAGTGGAGGCCATGGTGCAACTAGGGACAAGATTTCAGAGGGAAGAAGGGCTGGGGCTCCTGTGCTTCGAGCAGAGCTGACAAGCTCTGCTTATCTGCGGATCGGGTCGGAGGAGACAGGCAGTCTTCCTGTGTGGTCAGAGGCGGTCCTTTATTGTCAAACTAGGAAGAGATTAGGCTCTGGAGCCAGGCTGCCCTTGAGTGGGAGACCTGGCTCTGGCTGTCACTGCCTGTGTGGACATGAACTTGGGCACAGCAGCGGCTTTTATCTGCCGGCGGTGAATTCCCACACCAGCCACAGCAAGGCGGAGGCCGCTGAGGTTCCATTCTCAGGCCACCCCTGAGGGCACCAGAGAAACTTGGAGACCAGGTAGCCTGTGAATTGAGGCCCTGTCTACAAGACGACCAAAACCTACACACTCTGGGCTCTGCCATTTTTGCCACCCAGGGAGAGAGGACACTGAATTTAGGCGCTGAAAAATGCAGGTCTATCCTGAGCTTTCTGATGACTCATTGTAACCTGGGTGGGGCTGATTTTAAGTAACCTCTTGCTACCTGTTGTATCAGCCAAGCCGGGTATTTGGAGCCTAGAGGCTGGCAGTTCCTACCCTAACAGCCCCACCCCGCCCAGGCCAGGCACAAATTAAGGCTCTAATAGCGTTCCTAAGACACACCTTTCATCCACCAGCCTGGGCGAAGTCTACACTTTTTATTACAGCCCTTTGGGGCTCTGGTGTTAAGCGGGAGGCCAGATGGATTTCAAAAAATGCTGACTCTACGTACCCAGCAATTGTTTCTTTCTAGACCCCCAGGCAGCCCTACAATTCCTTCGATCATTTATGCATCTGTTAATAGGCATTTATGCACATTCATATTTCCTAGTTAAAAAAAAAAAAAAATCCAGTCCTGGGTGGCTCAGTCGGTTAAGCGTCCAACTTTGGCTCAGGTCATGATCTCATGGTCTGTGGGTTTGAGCCCTGCGTTGGACTTTGTGCTGACAGCTCAGAGCCTGGAGCCTGCTTTGGATTCTGTGTCTCCCTGTCTCTCTGCCCTCCCCCACTCACGCTCTGTCTCTCTCTCTCTGCCTCTCAAAAATAAATAAACATTAAAAAAAAATTTTTTTAAATCCAGTCTTGCCAGTGACCTAGTCTGCTGATGAGTGATTGCTTCCCCAGAATACAAGGCCTTGACCCAGTTACAACCTACCAGGCCTTCTGAGAAATGCGTCCGCTGCTGGCCAGTGGAGGAGGCAGGACAGTCACCTCCCCTTCAGCACACCACAGAGGCCGGTCCCACGGGATGGCAGGGGTGGGAGGACCCCATTGCTTTTGGGAACACCAATCACTCATCCGTAAAATTTTACACATGGAAAATTTTTACTTTATCTTAGTAAAAAGATTTGAGATTGTTTTGCTTGAAAGTAACCGAAATTCCATTTGAACTAGCTTTTAAGGGGGAGGGGTCATATCATATTACCCCGTGGAAATAAGTGGAAGAGTAACGAATGACAGTCCCACTTTCTCTCCACCTTCTCCTTCTGCCTCCCGTTCCTCTCTGTTCCATGGGCAGAAAGCATGCACCCTGTCAGCCCCCGACAGGTACCTGCCCTTGGTTTAAGCCTCTCTTCCCTCAGTTCTAGCTCCTGGATGCCTGGAAAGGACTCTGATGGTCACACCCGGTGCTGGTCCGTGGCATCCAGGAGCGGGGCTGCCTCATTCCAACACATGGGCAGCTCCTACAGGTCCCACGCATTTGAAGTGAGAAGGAAGGGCAGTTTGTAGAAAAGGTGGCATGGGGGGTGGTGCTACCCAGACAAAATAATAAGTGTCTGTACTAAGGGTCCCTAGACACCATTCATGACTTTATTCTACAGGTAAAGAAACAGGTCTGAAAGGGCTACCCAACTTACCTGAGCTTCCCTCCCTTGATCAAGGCAGAGCAGAACCGGAATCCAAGTCTTCTGGCTTCTTATCTGGTACGCTTTCCATTATACCAAGTCACAGTCTCCTGGTTCTAATTCTTTTACGGCACACGGCCAAAACAAGCCTCTTTTAATTTCCCCATTTGACAGCCGAAGGAAGTGGAGTTTAAGGAAATTAAGTAATTCCTACAAAGTCATACTAAGTTGTGAAGCTGAGCATTCAGGCAGTCTGCTTCTAGAAGCCGCCCTCTTCAACACTGTGCTGCCTGCTGCCCAACAGCTATTTCCTCTGCCTCACATCTCCTGCCCCCTTGTATTGTCTGCCAGGGTCCAGATGGGAAGATGGGCACCGGTCATCACCTGGGCCTCACACCGGTGGATAACTGGTGTGTGGCTGGTTTCCAAACTTGAGACTTCCTTCATTACAGAGAGGGACACACTGAAAGTTCTTCAGGAATGCCCCCCGCCCCCTGCCATGCCTGTGGGTAGTTGGGCTCCAGCAGTCTAGGAAAGAAAGAGAACAGTGCACAGCAAATGCATTTTAAAAACAGGATGATTTTCCACTCATAAGGCTGTCAAAACTTAACCATTTTGATAATCCCGAGCACTGAGGTTTTTTACTCTCATGCATTGCTGGTGTGAACCAGCTTGCAAGGCAATTAGGCCACGTCTCTTCAAACTAGGATCCAGTCCTAGCAAAACCACCGCACTTGTGCTCAAGGAGATGTATCTGAGAATATGCATCCCAGCGTCAATGCAAGTGAAAATCTGGGAACTGTGCAAATGACGGCTGATGGGGAAATGGCTAAATACAATGAGGAAGAATCATAGGACCTATAGATAAAGCAATTGAAGGGAATAAAACAGATCTAACATATTTGATCAGATCTGAGATATACAGTCAATTCTCATTATTCTCAGTGATTATGTTCTATAAAGTCCTGGTGGATGCTGAATTTGCAAATACTGAACCACGACTCCTGGGGGAGATAGGGAGCTAGGTTCCTACAAGCCTCTAGTCTCCACATTTTTGTTAACTGATCAATACATAAACTGTTCTATGTGTCTAGAGGCACCTTATGTGATACACATGTTGATTCATTAACACTGAGCTCACAGCCAGCAGCACTGTTGTTGAAGCCAGAGCCCGAAGTGTATCTAGCGCACTTTCACCTGTAAGGCGCCTGCTGCCTGCTTGCACCCAGAAGCACTAGACGCACATCACTGAGCGCGTCACATCAGCAAACGCTAGCACTTCGGCATTCTGCTCGGGGCCGTGTTAAACAGCAAAATCACCCACAAAAAAAAAAGCCCAAAAATCAAAAAACGAGGCACCAAATAGACCTCAAAAAGGACAGTTGTGTACTGTCTGAGAACTGAAACAAGGAGGCCACCTCAGCTGGCAGTGCGCACATCAGGAGACTCAAATTTTTCATGACTGAGCCTGTGTTGATTTCACTGTGAGTATCGATTTCAGGGTTACAAATACATTTTAGTGAGTAGGCGAGTTCACAAATACGGAATCTGTGAATAATGGGGATCACCTGTTTGCAGCTTCACATCTTAACGTCTTTCACATTGGGGTGCATCTTAGATTCCCTGTAGATACTATATGCATCAGTACAGATAGAATCTGCAGTTAGTGTTAAGTGAAAATCCAAGGTGACGACCACTACGTGTAGGATGAGCTCCCACATATAAAATAAGACAATAAACCACCACGCTTCCCAATGCTACATGCGGCTGTGTATGGAGCAGTCCCTGGGACACGGTTCTAAGTATTTTACCATCTTAATTATTTTAACCCTCACAAGGCTCTTATGAGGTAGGAGCTATTTTTATCCCCATTTTTTGAGGGGGCTGCAAAGGGAGAGGGGGAGAGAGAATCTTAAGCAGGCTCCATACTCAGTGTGGAGCCCCACGTGGGGCTCGATGTGGGGCTCCATCTCATGACCATGAGATAGTGACCTGAGCCAAAATCAAGAGTCAAACGCTCAACTGACTGGGCCATCCAGGTGCCTCTTATCCCCATTTTATATAAAATGGTTAAGAAAATTGTCCATGGTCACAGAAACATATTTTTTCACACCAAAGTAAAACTGATTGATAGGATTTAACTACTAACTTTCCAAACATTGTTTGTATCTTTTTTAAAAGTTTATTTATTTATTTATTTTTATTCTTTAAGTGTAATTTATTGTCACATTGCCTTACATACAACACCCAACAAGTGTTGGGTGCCATCCCAACAAGTGCCCTCCTCAATGCCCATCACCCACTTTCCCCTCTCCCCCAACCCCCATCAACCCTTAGTTTGTCCTCCTATGGTTTGCCTCCCTCCCTCTCTGTTTGTAACTATTTTTTCCCCTTTCCCTTCCCCCACGGTCTTCTGTTAAGTTTCTCAAGATCCACATACAAGTGAAAACATACGATATCTGTCTTTCTCTGACTGACTTATTTCACTTAGCATAATACCCTCCAGTTCCATCAACTAATGAATGGATACATTTATTTATTTTGAGAGAAAGAGAGAGAGCACGTGCGTGTGTGTGCGAGCAAGGGAGGGGCAGAGAGAGAGGGAGCGAAAGAGAATCTCAAGCAGGCTCTGAACTATCAGTGCAGAGCCCGACAGAACCTGTCTCAAGGTTCATACCCCCAAAACCCTGAGATCATGACCTGAGCCGACATCAAGGGTGGGACGCTTAACCGACTGAGCCACCCAAGTGTCCCCATTATTTGTATCTTAACAGGAGTTAAAACACAGACTATCATAAACTCACAACAATCCATCTTAATCGTATTGTTAAAAATTTTTGAAGTTTTACTCCCCTACTTTATTTCCCACTGTATTTCTTACTTAGAAGTAACCAGACATATATGTTAAGACACACCATCAGTTTCACCAGTAGCTCCGTTTTCCTAAGCACGGGATTAATGAGATTGTTCTTAGCTTTTGAAAGCCTCTTTTATTTGGGCTTCATAAAAATGTATTTCTACATATGGACATCTTTTTTGTTTATGAGAACACTTGCATAACTTGTACTCTGTTTATAATGATGCTTGTTAATTTTAAATATGTTCAAGTTGAATTATATTGAATAAAATAATAAATTAAGATGTAAAAAAAAGAGAGAGAGAGAATTTTTATGAGCTCCAGACAGACTTATGCAAGAATTGATATATCTGAAAGCTGAGGTACTTCAGATACTAAATTCAGTAATATTTTAAATTGACAGAAAGATTAAGGAAACATGGAACTTAGGAATGAATTTTTTACTCCAAAATATTGTGTATAACACTTTCGCATATTAAAAGATTGCTCTTGGGATTTACGGCCCCCAAAAATTGTTGACTCTTACCATATCTTCATTTAATAGCTTTTCCTACAACCCCATTGCTGCCTACTGAAAATCCACATGTTAGCCAAAGCCCCCTCTGGTATCAGCAAACTTTCTGATTCCCCAATTGAGTGTTATTAATTGAACCATGCAATTTCTCTTTTTTGTAGATCATTTTTGACCTATTTTAGTGGATATCGGCAATTTCATATGGCACCTTAGCGTCATTTCCCTTTAACCTTCTGTGGCCCGTTATAGATTCCTGGTGGCATTTATCTAGAACTGACTAGTCCAATGAGAGGCTCTGAATCCCCTGGAGGGTAGGGACTGCAACTTGTTTTCCTTTGGGTCCTGCTTTCTCCCTCACAGAAGGTTCTGGGTGAATGTGGGTGGATGAAGTCAGAGAAGGCGTCATCATTGCCTTAACTTGCTGTGTCTTCCCTTACAGTGGTCCACATGTGCAGCATCCTGGAGCATAACTGTGCCCACTTCTGCATCAATACCCCGGGCTCATACGTCTGCAGATGCAGACAAGGATACATCCTCAACTCGGACCAGACTACTTGCAGAAGTAAGATTGCTTTGCTGGTGTATCTGCACTGTCCTCCTCTGCCCTCTGCTCTCTCTTAGGGCCTATTTAATTCATATGTGGCTCTTCGCTTAACCTAGTCATCATCTCCTTAAGGAAAGAAAGGAGGTTTTATAACTCGTGTATTTTGTGTCGACCTCCATCCTCCACCCCGCCATCATAGTGCTTGGACCAGAGCCAGCACAGCATATAGTAGGCCAGCAGGAGGAGTTTGGAAGACTGTTGGAGGCATCTCCTTAGAAACAGCCTTTTTGAATTCATGAGCTGGTGTCTTTTTCTTCCAACCTGTTCTTTAGGGGGAACCACTGGAGAGCCTTTTCATCCACTGTCTCTATGAACTGTACCCTGAGGAATTGTTTCTGTATTTTATTCTCTTCTCTGAAGCATTGACTTAGGATGAGTTATTAACATTGGCTGGGAACGATTATGCCAGTTCTGTTTTAGAGGTGTGCAGTGATCTCCTAGCAGGGATCTAGTAGACCTATAAAGTCTCCTAAATGAAAAAGAAAAAAAAAAAAGGTCAAACAGATTAAAAGTGCGGAGAGAACTCAGATTCTCTTTTTTTTTTTTTTTTGGCCAAGCTCCCAAACTAGACAACATACTGACATTTGAACCAGCGAGAGGTAATCTGCCTCTTAGAGAATTCCCTATACACTGAGGGTGGTGCCTACATATGTATGTTTTTAAGTTGTAAGTAAAGCCACTGTGTTAGCCCATAGACAGCCAGGCTACCAAACCAGGCTTACTCAAGATGTGAGGAAGACCGGCGGGGGAACCTTGCTCCTGGCAGCCGAGGCGCGATGTGGTTCGAGATTCTGCCCGGGATCGGTGTCATGGCCGTGTGCTTGGTCATCCCCGGCATAGCCACTGCGCACATCCACAGGTTCTGTAACGGGGGCAAGGAAAAAGGGGTTGCCTTTATTATCCATATCATTGGAGTTTGATGCAAAGAGATAAGCGCATCTCTGGAGTTAATCGTTACTGTGTGTCAAAGGGTTTGGAGAATATTGATTAAAGAAGCCTTTTCCCGACTGATGAAGAATAACTCAGTTATGTTCATCTGCCCTTTCTGGAAGGTTATGCAGTGTATCAATGTAGTACATAATAAAAACAAAACAAGACAAAACAACAACAACAACAACAACAACAAAAAGATGTGAGGAAGACCGGCCCACACGGAGGCAAATAAAACTCAGCTAATCTGACATGCAGTTCATGCAACACATAATTGTTATTATACCTCATGGTAAGCAATTAAGCATTAATGGAAAGCATCTGCACAAACGGCTGTAATTAGTATCGCATATATAGAGCCAAACCACATTTTCCTGTTTTCTTCCCACTTCATTTTCGGGGTTGTAAATAGCTGGATAGAAGCCTCCTGCCCCCCAAGGTTAGGGAACATCTGCTTGACTCCTCCAGTTCTGTGGCCTCTGGAAACACAAAGCTTCCCGGTGCTATGTGTTCCTGGGCTCCTCCCAGACCTCAGGGTCCCAGATTTTTGAGTGCAGCCTGAATCATCCTGATCTTCTGCTTGAACCTCTGACCCTTCTTGAGTTTCCACAACAAAAATTGCTCACACCCACCGCTCATGGGTTTAATAGAATTCGCTGGGAAAATGGGGGAGCCCTGGCAAGGTCACCTCACACACTGCTCAGCAAACAACCTAAACATCTTTTTTAGACATCCCCCGACCCTCTTCAAGAGCTCCGCCCGCCCCCTCTCCCAGCCTCTTCCGGAGCTCCCCTCTGCAAGGTGTTGCTCTGAAGAATGCTCAGCCTTTCGCCACCTCGCTTACTCCCGTCATGCCCTTCCCTTCTTAGGAACACAAGAAAGTCCTCCCCTTGTCTTCTGCCTCAATGGCCTGCTGCAATCCAGGCATCTGCTGACGTCCATTTTCCATGGGCTGGCTTAGTCAAGTCAGAGGAATTTGGGGACTAGCAAATAAAGAATAAAAAGTCCTCCCCCTAGTGTTATGAGCCAGGCCTTCCCCACACTGGGTTTTGTCAACCCCTGCCTGGTCCCACCTCAAGCCTGGAGACCCCTAGGCTCTCCCCAGTGTTGATCTGTCCTGGGATCCCCACTATAGGAGGAGGGCTGTGGGTGCAAAGAGCATGAAGCAGAAACTGCCTGGGCTTCAGACAGACAGGAGCAAGGCGGCCCGGGTCAGAGGTTCTCAGGTTCCAGTAACTAAGAGCCACTCAGGAAGCTGACCCCCGGGGTCTCACCCCCAGAGATTCAGAGTCAACAGGTTTAAATTTTTTTTTTTCAACGTTTTTTTATTTATTTTTGGGA